TGTATAAGGGCACAGATGCCCAGGGAAGTATTTAGAGCTACCAAAACATCTAGATTAGCATCTTTGTGCCCTCCCAGCAGCTCCAGCAAGTAGGGAATCATTTTATCTCCATTGCAAAGGCAGGGAAACTAAGGCAAGAGGAGACAAGATGGTACCCAGACACTGGGATGCCCAGTCATGCTTAGCACCTCATTACTGTACTGGGCCTGAATGGAGTGACTTATGGCAAGTCACTCAGGGAGTCTCTGCCCCAGCTTCCCTACCTCTGCTTTGTCTGTATTGGTGCATTTCCTAACAGCCAGAGGTGTTTCAGTGTCTTAACTAACGATTGCTCATAAATAATGCACAAAATACAGGATGAAGGATTCCACAGAAGGGCAAAGTACCAGGCTTATCCCAGGTACTTCCTTATCTGAACACTTCTAAGTCCCGCAAAGCCAGAATCTTCCTGAGTGTGCACCAAGTGTAGTTTAACATGAGGTCACCAGTAAATTATTAATCATAACATACATTCTGCAGCCTGCCAGAAATTATTATTAACATCACGAGGTTATGTCTGTAGTGAGTAGCAGAGGGTGTGTGAGACTATTTTGCTCGTGCTACTAAGGGTAAGATAACTCAAAACAAAAATCAACAAGATATGGGGCTGTTCCTCCCTTCAAGAGTATGTCTGAGAGCTGCTGCAGCGTGGCTGGCACGGATTTTGGTGAAGCAATAAATAAACAGTGTCAGAAGGCTCCCCATGTTCTACATTTGGAGTGCCAAAGTGGAAGTAAGAACTAGCACGAAACTGGCATTGAGTTGGGCTGTCTGCAGCAGGGATAGTCTCAGAGATGCTTTTCACAAACAACAAAGAGGGACTTCAAAAAACTGCAATTTGTTGATTTCAAAGCTTGATGTTTGTGCTGTCTTTGATGTTTGTTCTCGGCCCGAAGAAGTGGCTGGTGGTCAGAGCTACCTGTGGCTGCCTGGGCAGGCAGTGGGAAGGTGCTGGCTGGAGCAGGCAACCTGGGGTGAGGCCACATGCTCCAGGCAGTGGCAGGGAGGAGGGAAGATGATGACAACAGAGCCGGCAGCCCAGGGTGTGATGTGCCCAGGAGAACAGCTCTGGCCAGCTGATTACTCCTTGGTGCTGCAATGGGTGGCCTTATCTGCTCGACTCATCTTGTGTCTTGCATATCCAGGTCCTCAACTGAATCCCCTTATTGTGTTCTGCCCTACTGAGTCAGAGCTGAAGCAGTGGCTTTATCACCTGGAGAAACAGATCCAGCTCAATAGAAGCCTTGGCTTGTCCTTCCTCTCTCAGGTTAGTGTCTTGGGACAGGGAAGGGGGATGTTTCTCATGCTGACCTCCTCTGCCCATGGAGGAACTGTGCATTTATGTTCAGATGCCCCTAAGGGCTCAGGTCTGTGCAGCTAGCCCCTGAGCAAATGTGGGATTTCAGTTTGAGTGTGGGATTTCAGTCTGAATGGGAACCCCAAAGGTGCTCTGTACTGCTGAGACCTGACAGCAGCTTGCTGTGTTTCTGCTCTGTGTGTGTCTGCCCCTGCAGCTTCTCATTTTGGAGCATGCCTTTTGTGCAGTTTCCTGCCAGGGAAAGGTGCAAACAGAAATGCTTTGCAAGGTTGTGTGTGCTTGAAAGGGACACCAACAACCCAGCCTCTGAGGGGGCAAGAGTTTTGTGTTTGCTTCAGAGCAATTGTCACACAGTTGGCTGCTTGTGCAATTATCCAGTTTACAAAACACTTGAAGGAGGAGACTGGGACTGGGGCCTGGAAAACAGGACCAGATTCAAGAGACCTGTCTTCTCTTGCAGACTCTGTGGGGTGTTTTAGTTTCTTCCCTGTCTCCATCTCCCCACTTGTAAAACAGAGAAATTCCACTTTGAAAGCCAATGTGCAGATGATACTAGGTACCAAGTGTGATTATTCAGTCCTGGATGGGAAACTGGCTCCTGCAGAGATTTATGAAGTGTTCTGAGATGGTCCAGCTAAACTCTTAGGGGAGGACATGCCTTGCCCTGCATCTTCATTCTGCTCCTGTCCCTAGAATGACTGGAAGCAGAGCTCCATGGGGAAGGAGGAGCTGCGTTGGTCTGTGCAGAACATGCCTGTCCAGGAGTGGAGAGGGACCCAGCGGGAATCCTTGGGTGATGTCCTCTGTGTTTCCAAAGTGAAGCTTCAGCATCTGCCTTTCCAGGTAGGACACATCTCCAGGGAGCAGCCTCCTGGCAGCATGGCTCAGAAAAGGCAATGAATGGAGTGCAGAATCCTTCCTATCTGCTACCACCAATCCAACAGGGCCCTGAAGAGCCCTTTTACCTACATCCCAGTACATGGAAGCAGCTCCTGTGGCCCAGCAGTGGTCCTGGGGGACGTTCATAAGTGCTTGCAGGACAGGGCTGGCAGCTGGAGCTGTTGGGAATGGCCAGTGGAACCTGGTTGCAGGGAAGCAGCTTGGCTGTTTGCAGAGCCCTTGCCTCAGGCTGCTGCCAGAGAGACCAAGCAAAGAGCTCTCCAGATCCCAGCCCTTCCACAAGGAACCCTCTTCTTCTTTCCTTCCCAAGGAGCAGCATGACCGGCTGTTGGTGCTTTACCCATCCACGCTGGTGATAGTCTCTGAGGAAGGCAACAGCCTCTGCTTTAAGGTGAGTGGATTTTGGGGCACCTTCCTGCTCTCTCCCACCCATCCACAGTGGCTACTTTGGCACCTCTTTGGCTCGTTGCTCCCCTCCACCTGCATCCCTTCATGCTCCTCATGTTGGCAAGGGCTTTCCCTCCGTGCTGCTCCCTTGCCAGCTGGCAGGTGAGTAGGCAGAGGGATGTTGCAAGCTATCTTCCCATGAGAAACACCTTGCCCTCCTACAAAAAAAAAACCCCGAGGTGGGGAAAGGAGCCAGCTGCCAAGGAATCTGAGTCTCTGGGAGGAGGGAGCCCGGCATGGCTCTGTGTGGTTGTGCTGGCAGGGAGCCTGGCTCGCTTGCTTGAGTCAGGAGCTGGAACAGCTCCAGAGAGTCCCTCTGCAGCTTCCCAGGCCCTGCCTGGTGGGACCACTTGAAATTTCAGCAGGTAGCATCCAGGCAGCACATCTGGTGCTGGTGGGTAAGGACAAAGGCAGTTTGTTGGCTGGGGGACAGAGAGGAGGGACCTTTGCCTGCTCGTTCCCTCTGCAGAACAAGGGCCCGGAGAAATGTCTGGGCACACTAGTGGAAAGGCCAACAAGGATGTGGAGGCCTGAGTGCCCCAGGGGCTGTGAGACCAGCTGCTCTAGCCCACTGGTGTGTCTTTGCTTGTAGGAACCACGCTGGGAGCCTCAGCACTGCCAGGCAGAGGCACTGTGGGCTCTGGGAGCTGTGTCTGCATTGCCTGCTGGCTGAACAGCCCTTAAGCCTGATTGCTGACATCGCTGCAGTGGCTGTTCAGCAGCCCTGGGCTTTCTGGCCCTGTTTTCTGTGCCAAAAAGTGCACTGAACTGTCTGTGAACCTGCAGGTGCAGCACGGCTGGCACATGAGGGAGCAGAGCTGAGCATCCTTAGTCACTGAGAGAGGGGCTGGAGACAAGGAAACCCTGCAGACACTGAGGGCTTGTGTGTCCTCATGGGGTCCTTCTGTCTTCACCTGATTTCACCATGTCCCCCACAGGCCCTCGGCCATGCAGGTCGCTTTTAATTCAAGGGCCACCCCTGGGAAGACCTCCACAGATCATGCCCCTGGCTGTGCCTCCAAGGAGCAGAGTGTGAGGAAGGCCACACGCCAGTCAGAGCTCTCCTCTGTGCAGAGGGTGTTTTCCAGCAGCTGGTGGCTTGTGTGACACACCTCAGTCAGAGCTTGTTTTCGGGAACATGTTGTTTGCAGCTCCTGGGAATGGGGCACCACGTAAGGGGGCCTTGGGCTGGGCTCTCAGATTAACTCATCTCTTTTGAAACCTTAAACCAGATTTGTCTGCCTTGTCCTTGCAATGTTCCCTTCCCACGGTGCAGGAGCGTGGGTCCCCAGGCGTCTCACACTGGGGTAATGGCAGGGCTCTCTGCAGCCGGGAGGTGATTCACCAGCCTGTGACACCGCAGTGGGAACCTGATTTTCCACAGGCATGTCAGGGCACAGGAGCCTTCTCCTGGGGCTTCTGCAAATTAACTTCCTTTCCTTCCCTGCCAGCAGATGCTGAGCCTTACAGTTTGTGTGTGAAGGAATAGCCTGCTCCTTTTTGTTCTTCTGTTTCATACAAACCACAGGAGAGGCCGTTGCCAAGTTTGTGTGTGGGACAGGGAAGGCAGGGGCTGAGCCTGCCCTGATGGGGCTCTCCCAAAACTGGTGGGAAACAGCCCTGGGCAGGGTGTAAATCAGCAAGGGGGAAGATGCTGGGGAGAGTGGGTTCACACCGTGCCTGGGGGGGGCTGGAGGGGCTCTCTGCAGCCAGCCTGTGTTATCTGTGGGATGCTGCTGTGCTTCCCTAGGTGGGCCTCCAGCCCCCGTGTGTTTCAGCCCCGTCCCATGGACTGGGAGCTGTTGCCTTAGGGAGGACTGGGAGCCTGGAGGAGCCCCGTGCAGTGGTCCTTGAGAGCACGAGGGATGTTTGAATGTGCCAGAGAGCTGAGAAGTGAGACGAGCAGGCGGCCCCAGCCTCCTCCATGTGCAGCTTTGCAGCAACTTCAGCACCAGCTGAAGTGTCAAAGTCCCTGCCTCACAGCACGAGCCTTGCATGAGCTTTCCCTCCCAAGGTCAGCCTCCCTGTACTGCTCATAAATCACTCTGGGTGCTGGAGAAACACCACAGCAGGCTGCGTGTGCCCACAGGCTATAGCAGAGAGGCAGCTGGCCAGCACAAACCACCGACACGCGGCCCAGCTCCACGCTTCCCTTGTGGAAAAGCTCTCACGTCAGCCACACTCCCCGGAGCCTGTGCAGCTGGGGCAGCTTTGCAGCGAGGGTGTGATGAGGACTTTCTGCTAGACACCTTATTTTGCAGCCCATAAACTTAGGCAAATGAGTTGCACTTAAAGAGAGGACCTTTGGCTAAATGCCAGGGCTTTGCTCCTGCTTTCTGTGCTTCCTCTGCTGTTGGGCTTGGGGGAGAGTGGCATGAAGTGGGAACTTCAATTCCTGAGCTCTTCCCAGACCCCGTGTTTGCCACCCCAGCCAGGAGCTGTTCCCAGGGCTAGCTGGTGCTCTATACCCACAGTTAGTGTGACATCCAGGAGAGGTGAACAGGATTAAGGAAGCAAGAAACAATGTGTCACTTGTTTTCCCCCTG